ACACACACACACACACATATATATACACACACACATATATATACACACACACACATACATACACACACACACATATATACACACACACATATATATATACACACATATATACACACATATATATATATACACACATATATATATACACACACATATATATACACATACACATATATATATATATACACACACACACACACACACACACACACACACATATATACACACACATATATACACACAGACACACACATATATACATATACACATTAATATATATATATATATATATATATACACACACACATATATATATACACACAATTAATATATATATATATACACACATATATATACACACATTAATATATATATATATATATATATATATATATACACACATTAATATATATATCTATCTATATACACACACACATATATATACACACATGTTAATATATATATCTATCTATATACACACACACATATATATATACACACATATTAATATATATATCTATCTATATACACACACACATATATATACACACATATTAATATATATATCTATCTATATACACACACACACACACATATATATATATATATACACACATATACACACATTATATATATATATATATATATATATATATATATATATATATATATATACACACACACACACTATTATTAATTTAACTTTTTAAAATTTTCCTTTATTTGAATAAATGAATATTAACCTTTTTTCATATAATTGTATTCAACATTTTTTGTTTAATTTCAAATTTTTACAAAGTTAATTGAATTATGATTTAATATTGTCAAAGTTTCTGATATGTAGCACTGGGCATTTGATTTAATAATTTTCCAATTTTTTAAAAGTATATTACTTTGTATTTTTATTTTATAATATTTAAAATGTATGTCATTTAAAAAATTTACTAAGTGTGCTGTGATATTTTCATTTGCTCCTAGGTGTGTTGTTGCTTAAAATGGTTGAGAAACATTGGCATACAGCCTAGAACGTGCTGGAGTTATTGTATGGATGTATCTATCCAGGTTTTTAGATGTGTCCATAATCATATTGTGTTTGTAGAAAATTTAGATAGGTTTGCAAAAATATCCCTTACATGCTCAATCCGATCTAAATCTACGGAGTTCAGGTGATAATTGAGTATTATTGATAGAAGTCAGTATCCCTGAAACCAGATTTCATATCATGGAGTGTGGAAGTTGGCATGATCTTGCTGGAAGAAAACAAACACCAGGAAATATGGTAAATGATCCCTAACAAGATCTATACCTGTTACACCTGTCACAACAGATCCCAGTTTCAATTGTGATGCTTGAATACTCCAACAGGACATACCCAACAATATTACAGAGGTACTACTAGTTAATTTTAGCCTTTGCTGACAGGCAGGCTGGATCTATAACTTCATGTGATCTTTTTCAGACACACATACAAACTCTGCCATCAGCCGAAAGAACTAGAAACATAACATTATCTGTCCAGGGGACACTATTGATCTTCTTTTCCTCAGATGACATAACTGATTTCATGGTGTCAATAATGGTACCCTTGTTGGTTGACAATGTTAAATCTCTATGGAATTAAGAGTACATTGCACAATGCATTGGCCAATATTCTGAGCAGCATCAAAACAATTAGGATGTGATTTGATACAATATTCCCTTTTGTTGAGTGGTTACTGTCCTAGTCAGTTGCTGATATCTTGTTTTCATATCACTTGTCAGCATCTGCAATTTTCATGAGTTGCTGATATCTGTCCAGAATTCGAAGAAAAATCTAGGAGAACACCCCATCTTTCTAGCTCCAACATTCACTCCCCAATCAAATGATGTTAAACCATCTACTTTCCATGGCTGCCACAGCTACACTACCTTTTTACTTATTATGCCACATATAGGTTTTCTGGTTGAATCCATTTTTACAAGTGGGAGAGGGCAAAGCAATCCAGAGTAATATGAAACCAGAGTCTTGCTGTCCATAATTTGGTGGTATTTCTGTTAATAATAAATTCAGTTGGTATTACTGACAAACAGTCTTTACAAAAAATGCACTGGATATTAATAAGTTGATAGTGAAATGGTAAAACCAAGTAAAAATCACAAGTAACTTGACCTTGCAACTAAAAATTTCATGCTGTGAAGGGATTGTCAGGTAACAGAATTAAGAATATAGATCCAATGTTTATCAAGAAACAGCTGTGTGTATAACATTCATTAATCAGTGTCAATAGCACAACAGCAATTTATTTTCATGATTACATTTAAAAACAACTTCCACTTTTTTATTCAATAATCTGCTCTGATCAAAGAACACAAATATGCTTAATTTTTCTTCCAAACATAAATTCTATCTTTCTGATCCCTCTGAGCAAACAAGCATCTTTTTCACTTATTTCCAGCTCATCTATAGTGTTCACGCTTATCCTTCTGTTCTCATATATACTTCAACAGTTTTGTACCGTTTTCATATTGCCTTATCTTCTTCAAAGAGATTTTAAGATATGAAAATCATTTTCAAAATTTGAGTATTTATGAAAAAGGCAAAACGCTTATGATTTCATCAATGGCAAGAATGCTGTTCCATTGGATGTTATGGTTTTGAGATGAAGAACATGACTTAATTCAACTGACAGATGACTGCTTTTCAACATGAAACTTAGTTGTAAATTGAAGTTGTGCTTTTAATTTGGTTATATATATATATATATATATATATATATATATACACACACAACTGAGGGACCATTCAAGAAGAGAAAAAACAACCACGACTTTTCATTCTCCAACAGAAAATACTCAAACACCACCACACTATCCACATACATATGGCATCTAAAAGACAGAAATATTACACCAAGAATAAGCTGGAAAATATTGAAAAAAAGCACCTGCCTACAACAACATTACAAAGAAATGCTTACTTTGCCTACATGAAAAGGTAGCAATAATTTCTCATACCCAACAAAATTTACTAAACATAGGATCACAAATAATTTCCAAATGCAGGCAGGAAAATATCTATTATCAGAATTTATGCCAAACAGATAAAAAAATACCAACAAACACTACTACATAAACTACCACTGACCCTATAAACATGAAAAGAGAAACCACTGACACTGTAACACCAATTATTTTCTAGTTCAAATTACCTTCATAATAATTACAATTATTGTTATTATCATTCCACCACCATTACTACAATCACTTCTACCACTTTACAATAACTATTTGCTGCTATAATTGTTATTATATCACCTGCTCCCCCCCACACACAGCATTACTACCACATCACAATTACCATTGCCATATTAGTCCTCAATTACCATTACCATATCAGTCCACAATTATACTTACTTCTCCCTCTCCCAGCAAAATTAATACCACTGCATAAATACTAATAAGTATTACAAATTGGAATTTCTACCATTTACATATGCGTAATCGCCAAATCACAAGCAAATGACCGGCTTTAAAATAATAAAACAGCCTTAAAAAATTAAAAATAACAGCAATTTTTACCTATCATAGTCTTGCACAGACCCCATCATACGTATATACGTGCGTGCAAGAAAACATTATTCAGCAAGCAAAAATAGAAAAACGGTCTGCATGCAGATAGTGCAACAAACAAGAAATATTCGCTACACAATCCAACATTGAATACAGCGACCAAATGCATACGTATGTGTGCAACAACACATATATGCCGAGTCCCACACTGTTCAAATATGTTTATGTTTATTTGAGCTTTGGTGAGTGAGTGTGTACGTCAATGAATGTACGTGCATGTGTGTATGTTTGCGCAAGTATGAGTGGCGTCCCGACAACAATTTTTCTTCCCACTTCCATAAAAATACCAATATACGTAGCCATATATAAATACAAAATTTAAAAATTAATCTGTCTGACGATCACAAATAGCGTGAAACCCAGGGTCACAAACTCACATCAATTCAAATAAATATGTTAGCTCTATCTATCACTGATATTGAGTGTTTTCCAATAAGTAATATATGAATAATATATATATATATATATATATATATATGGGTGTGTGTGTTATACCATATCTATGAACGATAATGGATATGTCCCAATTCCTATAAATAGTTGTATAAACTGTATGTTGTCTTCCACTTGGGATTCACCTTGATTCACATCTAGCTCACCTCTAACAGTTGATTACTTACTAAATGACGCTGGCAAATCTTGTATGTTGTTTCTGTTATAAATATTATCATTTCATTTCCAACCTTCGTTTTGGTTATTCTCATTCAGTAACCTTTTCCTGGGTTACAACAGTACGTATGTTTTAAAATATACTTTTAAGGTATGCTATATTTATGAGTAAAAGTGCTCAATATCAGAGATAGAATGTATGCAGATGTAAAATTGGACACTGAGGTCAATACAAGCAGCAACAATCTGTTTCATACTTGTATATATATATATATATATATATATATATATATATATATAAAAAACAAATAAAAATTCATTAATTCTTTATATAATGTGACTTCTTTTTTTTTTTACTTTAAACATTATTTTTGGTGGATACCCATATTTGAGTAGTCACTCTATTTTAAATAAAATAAAATAGTGTTTAAAATAAACTTAGTACTTAATCAAATATAGATATCCACTAAAATAATGTTTAAAGTTATATATATACACACACAAGGAAATCTTGTTGCTTGCTACTAATAATGTATTCTATGTCCCCAAAAATTGTCAAAATAATTGACAAGTGATAAATGTAAACTAATTTTTTATTCATACACTTTATAGAGAAATATAGGGAAAAGATTTTCAATGATCAACTTGTTAAAATGACTAATGAAAGTAAAATTCCAACTCTAAGAGAAGGTCATAGAATTTGCAGAATGTTTAAAATTATATCAACTCAAATTAATCTACATTAAAATAAATTACTACAAAATTTTTCAGGTAAAACTTACCCTACTTGGGTCCACAGGATTGTCTTCAAGATGTACAACTGGACCTGGATGGGTTTTTCGTGATCTATAAAAGAGGATGAGAAAAAATTTAAAAAGAAAGATAAAATTGTTTGCATCTCCAAATGAATTAAATATAATTCATTTTGTTTTGATGAATGGAGGTTTGGAGTTCCAAGTTGAGCCATTAATAATTAAATTTGTAGATGGATTTTAGGGAAGTTTCCCCGCAAAAGTCAATTTTCAGTATCAATTTAAATGCTCCTGAAGGAATACTTAGTATAGTATTATATGAAAAACATTAGAAAACCTTTAAGCCAAAATTCAACAGCGACATTTTCAAGAATACATAATACCAAGTGAAAATAATATCTTTGTAAGTTATTCACAGAAAAAATGTGTCTATCGATCACATTATGTGCAAATATTTTACTATGTAATTATCTTTTAACTGGATTAGCCTCTACTGAAGTCAGTTGTTAGGTAAGTGGTAAGAGTAAGAGGCACTGTTTATGAGGATATGTGAAAAAGATAATGGTTATCCCTAGACAAACTAGATTCTAATGGTCGGGAAAGCATCTTCTTGGGAGTCGGTTTCACAAAGTATCAGTTTAAAAATTACACACACACCAAAAAAAAAAAAAAATAAATAAAATTATCAATCCACCCCAAGCAAGGAAATAATGCAAGGGGTTATTAGGAGTGAAATAGAATGAGAGGACTTTAGAAGGAAGCAGAAACTCAATCCTAAACAAGAAGCAAGGGATAAACCTCTCCTCCTGTTCATTTTTACTGATTTCTGAATATTAATGAATAATTCAAGAGTATCTTTTAAAAGAGAATTGGTCAAAACTTTACAGTAGTTTAATGTACAATTATTGATTTTCTTCCATTTCCATGTGCAATATTTCTGGTGGGTGTGAAAAAACAAAAAACAAAAGAAGAACACACAATTTATTATTTTAAAAACTGCAACAAACAACACTGCAATATGCCTTTTTAGTTAAATAGAAAATATTGTGAACTTCATTTCCACCCTTCTAAAATAAGACAAAAAAAATCCTTTTTTAATGCCATAAAATTTTATATTTTACCATAAAAGATCACTTAACAATAATTCTGTTTCAGCACATGTCACATAAGTGAAATGATTAATTAGTCTGATTTATGAGTGATTGTGATAACCTAAAAATGACAGTCATTGAGCAAATATTTAGATATGATTACATTTTCAAATGAACAATTCTCTAATAATAATCCCATATTTCTTTAATTGGTTGGGTGGCCATAATGAACAATTTAGTTTTTTTAGTCTTAAAAATAGATTAGTCAAAGGAATGTTTTACAGTATTAAACAGATCTATATAAGAAAGAAACTTATACTCTCAAGGTTAAAGTCAATAAGAGTAAAATAAAAACTTATGTGGATGTGGTAGATTTCCAATTTAAAAACATGAAAAAGTTGCTAAATAAGCAGAACAAAAATGACAAATCAAAATGAGAGAAATTAGTAGAAAAACTTAATGCAAGCGCATTTTCTCGGATTTGATTTCAAACCAAGAACAAAAAAGAAAAATGGATAAAATCTGGAGAATTATGCTTTCATTAACAAAGACAATCTGAAGCTTTTAGATGTTGCTGGAGTCCCAGACATGGTCTCTTTACTGAATTGGAATATTTTTATACTTTTTTCTAATTTTCATAAAATCCTTTAGAATTAGCTAAAACTTAAAAAAAGAAAAAAAAAAAAATTGTGAGAAAGAATGGAAATTTAAATTAACACATCCAGATATAGTCTTTTCATATTTAATTCTGAGAAGAGACATAATTTTCAAAATAGTGACTACTACAAGAAAAAAAAAAAGAAAGAAAAAGATTTGATAAAGTTAATTTTCTCCTTGGTGAGTTTGTAGTTTTGAATTTCATACACAAGTAGCTAGGATGAAAGATGGACATTTCTCTTTATGTAAATCAAATAGATTACTTTTTGTAAAAGCAGACTGCAATTTTATAATTAAGTTTTGAACAAGTACCAGATAAATTTTTTTTATTATCAATCCATATTTGCTTTGCTAATAATATTTTAATAATGATGATTCTTTTTTGTTTCTTCCTCAGAGAACAAATTTGAATCAATAGTAAAAATTAATATATAATTGTCACTACTTGAAGTATTTCCTTTGATCAGTATCAGCAACAGACCTATTCCTTCTATCTTGAAAATACTGAAATGTCCATATTATCAGGTCACAAAAAAGAATTAATGAATTACAAAACAAATAAAGGGAAAGACATTTTCTTTTTTAATCATTTCACCCCAAAAGCAAGGCAATAAAGCCACTAAGACATAGGGTGTGGGTAGTGAATGCAAGAGAATATGAGAAAAAGAAAACATTTTAAGAAGAAAGAACAATAAAAGAACGAAAGTTAACAACTGACATTGGATTTTAATTTGTGAAGATCAAAATTGACTGGGAAGCAAGAGGCTGAGAAAGAGTTACACAAGCAAAAAGGAAAAATCATTAGCATAGAACTTATGATTACATCTATTTCAATTGTAAAATGATGAGACGTAGCTATCAATCTAGTACTGCACTTAAATTCATAAAATCTAGGTACCCAAGAGGAAAGCTCATCAAAACAATATTTATAGAAAAAGTACAAGGAAGCTACATTTGGGCAGTGGGAAAGTGACTGAAACAATTTTAATTGGAAAAATACATGCCATAAACATTCTAATCAAGAATCACAGCCTTAAAGCTCAAATATTCATTTAAAATATACTGATATATGATTAATAGTTTTCAGTTAGTCTTAAGATAAAAAAAAAAAGAAAGAAAGAAAATTAAAAGTTTAGAAAAACATATTAAAAAATAAATAGTCCAAATTATATCATTAACTTTTAGTTGATAAAAATTTCCATTTAAATAAAAGTATTGTTATCAAGTCACTGATAAAGGAAATTATTTAGATAGGGGCTATGTTAGGATAAATAAAAGAAGCTAATTACAATATCAGATGAAGAATAATTTCCCCACAGGTCAATTTGATGATATTTTTAATAAACATACTTTCCTTGAAATGATATAAAAATGAACACAAAAAACGCTAGCAGTGTCAGAAATTTATACACTCAAAATTAATACACAAACCAAAGTGAAAATTGTATTTATCAATTTGATCATATTGTGTATGATATTGTTATAAAATAAAATAAGACATATCTCGGCTGATTTACAGGCAAATAAACTAACATACTTAAGAGCGAGAGCCGAATGTGAATGGGACAAAGCCCTGTCACAAAATGACCATTATCTTCGTTTACACATGTTCCCAATGCACAAGTTCCGGTCGAAAAATAAAATAATATTTTAAAGTGTTTCTATTTTTCAACCAATAAAAATGCTTCCCTCCTAATTATACTCGTGTCGTTTTTCGAGCCTGTTAAGCCATAAAAAAACGCCATAAAAGGGGTCACACGGAAGTACAACGGCAGTCAACAGGTGGCCAGGGAAGAGACCTGTCACGGTCAGGCCGAGCGATCAGCAGCAGCCAGCAGGAGGAGCGCTACCCAACCTGTGAGAACTACTATGAGAGATCAACCCAGATCTTCAGCCGGCCTATAAACTATACCACAAGGAAGCTGTCCCAAACCCACACGTTCCTGTTGAAATAAATCATGTAAATCTATTTCTGCTGTTGTCGTATTTTTTTCTTGCAACCATAAGCTTGTCTATAACAATATGTTACCATAATCTGGGAATGAAGAGAAGCATTCAAAGAACTTCCACAGAAATATCAGACAAAAAGTAGAACTATCAACAGTTAGGATACTGTTTGGGACAATAATATGAAAGGGAGATGAAAAGATCTTGGTCTAACTAAGAAGCCTCCCAATTTTATTTTGGTGTTTGGTCAGATGTTGCAAAATAGGTTAGGCTGAGAACTTTTCAGCACTACCTCATATAAACACATTACCATTATTGATAGGCAACTGAATATCTTCATATATTTGATGTTGATACAGTTTTAGGTTGATCAAGTTTTCAATTCTCATTCTCTAAACAAAGAAAAACAAAAAAAATGATATTCACCATTTCCTTATAAGGAAACATCTGGCATTCATTGACCAAACAGACAATGTTACTTTCAGTTGAAATTTATAAGACTTTTGTATAAAAAGAATTTTTCAGTCCAGTAACTGTTAGCACTCTTTCCAATACTGATGGAGGTTTCCTTTTTAACCTTTCGTTTGAAGTAGTGTGGAATGTCAACATAGCTGTTAAAGTCCTCAAGTCTTCTGTTATCTGGTACAGTTCTTTGTGATTCTGTAGTGCCATGTTTGAAAAAGGATGGTCCTTGTTAAAACCTACAGGTTAGGGTTAGGGTTATTTCATGCACTCAAAACCATTTTTAATCATTGATCTGAGAAAGCGGATTATAAAACTGACAGTTTAGATGTTTCTGAATGAGTTTGCTGCCATGCATGACATCTATAAGAAAGTTTTGATCTGACAAAGTTATTTAAGAATATGATTCAAGGTTTTTAGGGTTAATGTTTTGTTTTTGTAGCAATTTGCTGTATTGGGCAAGCTATCTCTAGCACAGCCTAAAAACGTGGTCACTAGTATACTAACAAGAACCAATCCCTTTCAGCAGTTTAAGGTACATCATAGTGATAACAATACAGAGAATATATACACATTCTATCTAATGAAGAATTCAATGTATAAATGCTGAAAATAAAACAAATATACTTATTTGCAATTTTTAACATAGTGGGTGCTTGGTACAAATGGTTTAACTGAAGATTTTGATATATAAAGAATAGATGATATGAGTTATAAAGGGATGCAAAAGCAAAAACAGATTCCAGTTCCTTCTGACCTGCCAAAACATGTTTTATAAAAATAAGAAAGGAAAAAAATGAAGACTTGGGTATGGCAACAACTTGTTTTGCATAAAGTATGTTTTCTTCTTTGACATTCTTTCAGATCATGACTTTCAAAAGGCATTTCAAGACATCCATCAGCTTTTCATGAATTCTTAAAGCACTAGATGTAAAGC